ATAAATAAACCTTTGCAAGTTGTGATTATAGTCTTTTCTGGATGGGTCGGCAGGTCGCTCCCACACAGACATTGCCACTTGAGCACGAAGCCTTCTACCATCCTAATCTAGAAAGAGGGTCCAAAAATTCTCGGAACTGAGGCACACTGAAGAAAGTGTCATTTTTTTAAATACATATTTCTGATGTTCCACTTCGTCAGAAGGCCACCCAACGTTTTTCACAGGCTGAGGAAAACTCCCTTCATCACGTTAGCGACAATTACAATTTAATTATCTATTAATCCTATTAGGTAATTGTTTGTAAACAATATATGCCTCAATCCACTAATCCTCTGGTCCCCGTGGTTTACATGTGCTAGACGCAGACTCATTATCATTGATTCCATAACTGTGCTGGTTTCCTATACGCATCTTTTTTCAACTTATTGCCCTCCTTGCTTACTTCTACATTCAGAAAAGACAATGCATTTTCCTTTTCTAGCTCCATACTAAACGTATTTTTGGCATCTGTTCTATTTGGTAGCTCAAGGAATTCAAACAAACTGCTTGTCTCGCCAAACTGCAAGTTAATCGTCCTTATAATGAACTAATAACTTGGGAACTAGTAATATCTTCTCTCTTGGTTTGTCATATTTTTGGTCTATTTCGTAAAGTATGGATTCCTGCTCTGATGATGCCTGTCACAATAGAGACGAATGCTCAGCATAGGTCCATCGGGGTCGCAGAACGGTGGGTTGAGGACTTCTTTGCAAAATATAACAGGCTTGCCTACATAGAAATCCTCCTTTGGTTTCCTTTAGTATCCCATCCTGAATTCCTCCCAGCAGGTATTTCCTTCGAACTTGCGATGCTATGTTAAATGCTTAATTTCCACTGAGAGTAATGATTGCCCTGTGACCCCGTGACGCTGCAGCTTGAGGTTAATGTGTCGAAAATATACACTATACTACTCAGTTTTAATTCCCACTTTGAGTGCAGATTATACTCAGGTGAGGTCGGCACTGAAGTCCATCCTAGATGAGAATTCCTTGTGAGAGGCAATGCCAGGTAAAATTTAACGCTACTGACTCTGTGACGCATGTATGGAAGAAATGCAACTGTTCGCGCTTCATCATCTTATGGGAGTTAGGATAGCTACAAATCTTATTTTAAAAATATAAGTGAGCAAAGAATACGATATCGAAGCTTAGTCTCTCTATATTGATGCTGTGAGGTCATAAAAAAATAAAGGATTGTAACGAAGCTATCAATGAAAATTTACGAAGTACATCGTAGTCAAGGGAAACTAGGCCCTTGCATGCCCGATGGGAATGAGAAACTCGGAATTAAATAAGTTATAAAGAAGTTGTTTGACCTTGTTTTCGCAACTTGGTCATATTGGCAGGAAGACACCTTGTCCGGATCCATAGTGTGCATGATTACTTCCAGAGAAGGACCATAGACATGGTACATTCCCCGACGTTTCGCCGGCATCGTCAGCGAGCATTGCCATTCTTAACACCACAAGTGAAGTCGATCCTTTGACCAATTGTGCTAAACTGTTGTGGTATCTCTCCTTTTGTCCTGAGCTATTCGCCTATTCTATATCCTTGTAGCACCCCCTCAATGTCACAATTTCTTAATTGTTTAGCCAAACCTATTTGAAACCCATTCACACTTTCCCCATCCCTCCGATTGTGCCGGGGGTGTTCAACTAAGGCTGCAGTTTAATCCGCAATTCCCTCTTCGGGTCCTATCAGGGTCCCCTCTTGCTCGGTAGGATCGTTCCCTTATCTGCCTGTTTCAGCCTACGAATCAAGGAAGACTTTGCAGAAATATGGACACTGAAAGATCCGAAATAGGGGAACACATGGCACGGACTGGACACGAAATCGAGTGGAAATCAACAGAAGGGCTGGCTGCATATAAAGGAAATACAAGAAAACGAAAGATACAAGAAGGCATCGATATCCTGACTGAAAGAATCCAAATGAGCAGGAGACTTGGAGAAGGCAGGATTAGCGAAAACTTTTCATACTGCCTAAGCAAACTCGGAGAAGATCAAGAAACAACAATAGCAGCAAAAAGAGGACAACTGGACAAAAGTAACATTTTTAATTTTAGGAAAAGAAATTACAAGAAGACCAGAGAGAAACACTCGAAAACCAAGAGAGCACGTCTTGAGTGAGCCTATTCAAATCAAGTGGAAACATCACATTTGAGGGTCGATACGCAATAGAAAATCATAGATCTGGCATTAGAGATAGAAGAATGGTGGACTTTCTAGTTAACTATTATTAGACACATTCACTCATAGACGTGGTCCATGAAGTTAAGGCTTGACCACGAGATTTACTCGGTGCACATGCCGCACAGCGATAAGGGAATCTGCAGAGTCAAATTAGGTTGTCATGCCAATTGAGAATCCAGACTTTAGGGGCTTGGTCCGTGAGGCTGGTGTATACGTGCTATCGAAGGATTGATGGAGAATGTAGAGCATAACGCATTGAGTAGCACGGATACGGTGGCAGCGATATTGTAATTCACTAAAATTAATAAATGCGAACGAGCGAGGAATTTGTGCGTTAGACATGCATGACGAGAGAACCTAAACTAAATTTCATTTATCTGGATATGCCCACCAATGTTGGGAAAAGAGCTTAACCCGACCCCAACCAGCGTCGATCATGTAGAGGACTGAAGCAAGATCACTAAAAAAACCGAATGAGAATGGCAATGCAAAACGAGCTGGTTGGCGGTTTCAAGCCTAAGAACCAATGGAAGCACTTTGACATGCCTGAAAGGTTTGTCATGAGTACAGCCTTGCCGCCAAGAAGGGTGAATACCAGAGCTATATGTAAGAAAAAATAAGTCGATCACACCAGCAAAGAGGATGATATTATACCTAGAGCTTCTGTTAGGCAAAACATTCGTGAAGAAGATACAATTATCATTAAGTGGACAAATGATAGTTAGGACCCCCTCAACACCAACAGTGGTGGATTCGAGCATGGTACCAAAAATATTATAGAAAATAACATCTCAACAGATGACAAGATGAACTAGCACAATGCGATGCCGACGAATCTATGCTAAGCTTTCGTCTGTGGGATTAAGGAACAAATAGTATTTCCAGAAGCCGTCTTAAGGAAATCACAGACGATGTAAAAACCCGCAAGAAGCATGACGGGAGCATGCATTAAAACAAGACTTCACCCGGAATACACGTTTGCGGAGAATGGATGAAGACGGCTCAGCAAAAAAATTCATATTCTAAGAAAGCAAAGAAGTGAATGAATATCCAAATAAACATGCAATAATAACATAGATGAATGAATTAAATTAAGGGGGATTTGCATAGAAGGTTTGGTCGAGTAACCTTATTGGCAGTTCCAAGATGTCTTTCAATTTTTCGAGATAGAAGGATAAGGTGACCAGGTTAAAATGCCACTTTGGCTAGGGGGTCTTATATTAATCGCCCATAGATATTGTCCTGCTTCGACGCCTTTCGATTTTTTCTGTCATACAAGAATCAAGAGGCCTTGGCGCCTCTTGCACATGGAAATAAGAGGATTGAGATACTACAGAAGTAATTTGGGTTTGCAGGCGAGGATGTACGAAGTAAAATTGCGTCATTAGATTATTAAAATCACCCTCACTTACGCCTTTGAGGAATGATGGAATTTCGAAGACATGAGTGTCAGAGACAGATGATGAACCTATGTCTGAAACCTTTTTTGCGTGATCAGGATCAAGAGCCAGCATTCTGGTTAAGCTGTATGCGTTGGAGAGCAAGTGAGGATCCGTCGATGAAAGTATAAACCGATCTTCTTTGGCTGGTCGATGTCGGATATCAGCTGGGTTGTAGGGAGGTTTCAAAGCTCCACTGTGCACTTTATCCCAATCAATAAACTTGAGGAAGCGCAGTCGTTTGACTCCGTGGATGTCGGGCCTGTGCGCGTGTTGGCGTTGGAGGCAAGCGCTAAAAAAAGATTGCAAAGGCTTTGTAAGGGTCTTTAATCTTTTAATTGTGAAGCGGCCTTCCCGAGCTTGTCGGAACTCTTCATTTACATCAAGGGCGCTTGGTCGTATCGGTCCAGAAAGCATCTCGGCAGCCAGTACCGCGAGGCTCCAAATATCAGCCTTGATGGTGATAGCCTCGCCCTTGGCAATTTCTGGCGCCATAAAAAGAGGGGTGCCAGTGAAATCGTCGGCTGTTGGTGCTCCTTTGATTGATGAAAGATCAAGTGAACGATCGAAGTCGGAAAGGAAGGTGTGCCCGTCGAAGGCACACAAAACATTTTCTGGCTTAACATCTAAATGAACTATATTTAGTGAATGAATGTGCTCCAGGGCACAAATGATTTCGCATAGATAGAAACGTGCATCTGATTCTGAAAGAGAACCAGTATGCCTAATGAGATCGTACATATCGCGGCCACAGCCCTCTCGTAGAACAAAGACGAAAACGCCCTGCTGACAAAAACTGTAGAAGAGGACTGGAAGAAAGGCACATTGATGATCAAGTTTCGCCAGTCTCTCAAGAATACGTCGTTCTCGCTGGACACAGCGGAAGGCAGATTGATTGTCGAGGAAGAATCTCTTCAGGGCATATTTGGTATTGGCATCCAACCCATCTTTTTTTACAGCCTCAAACACCACGGAGTGACAGCCACTGCCTATGAAACGTTTAATATCGAAAAGGTGCGCGCCCACAAACGACATCTGGGACGTACATGAGACAAGTAGGGCTAGTAGGTACCAGGTCGTCGTGGCATGAATCACGTGAGCGAAATATACATTGATTTTTTTCCAACCAATAGACTTTCAGATTTGGATCTACCACTGTGGATTGGCTAGCTTGTTTACATGTCATTGGCTGAAAGAATGAGCTGCAAGCGGTAGACCAATAAGTCCAGAGAGCGGGCGTTCCTACTGCGTCAAACTTAGGCCCTGCCACACAAAATCAATCAAACCAGGTCAGATGCCAACTATCAAAAGATTATGGTGCATTGGCAGTTGTGAAATTATTGTCGCGACTAATTTGTAAGCAAGTTGATAACTCTTGCTTGGTGAGAGCTTGTGCTTTTTCGGAAAATATGAACTTGGTCAAGGAGAGCTATCAGAGATCCATTTTTATAAAAAAATTAACCCTGCCGATCGTTTTGATGTGGACGTACGCAACAATAGAATGTTAATTAGCTCATTTTGCACGTCCGATTAAGCAGGTTAGTAAGCAACATTGATCTACTCTTGTTTGATCTCATTTTTACAATCTTGTCGGAGAACGTATACATTCATGCATCATCTGCCATAGTAGCCATGACGATTTCCTGCGTCATACAGTCAATTTTGGACATGCCCAAATGTTTCATCGGTGTCGTAGTCGGGGTCGTTAATGAGAAGCGCAACCATTAACACGATTTTGCAACATATATTCATACATGCGATCAAATAGTATTTTTGTGTAGAATTGCTAGTATATTGGAATACTCATACGAGGCTATACGACAATAAATTGAGGCAAAATTATGGTGGTCCGATTTCGCTACACGAGCTCATTAGTGGGCAGATGAAGTCCGAAGTATTACCCAACTTTAAAATAGCAACAGCTTGCTATATTTTCATAGTAGATACGAAGAGAAACTTGGTAAATTGAAAT